ATTCCATGACACCGAAAACCCCCAATACCATAACTCCCCCCTTAACCCCCCCCCCCCTGCCAAAAAACCCCCCCCCCCCTTTCAGGGGAAGAAAGTTATTAAGCCCCCGCTCTCTTTTAAGCCTCCCCTCCCCTCCCTTCCCCTCCCCTTTTAGACTGTTTAATTATGTACTGTAAACACTTGACGTGGACTGGCCCAGTATGATTTATTTATGATTCAAAGGGAGGGGGACAGAGACAACTTACAGGGTGAAAGGTCAAAGATGATGCACGTTACTAAGAGGGTTTCAACAGTGCAGTACGCATGTACCACACTAAGAGGTGAGGACTACTGTAAATGCAAGTAAACTTCCAATTTAATGATACGAAATGAATAAAATGATCACTTAGAGAAAATGCTTTAATCGTTAATCAAATTCTCTGAACTACATGTAATTCTTTTAACCCTTTAAAGCCTAATATTAAAATTCAAATTCTCATTTGTTGTCCCTATTTGTTTTCAATAGAAGTAGTGAGGAGAATTTGCTGAAGCATCAATTAGATTCATCTAGTGTGATCAGGTCCTCAATTCTCATGATCACGGTGTTTTATAAAGAAGTGATACTACTAGGAGAAATTTGACACTGATCACTCATAGGGCTTAAAGGGTTAAGGAATGCATTGAGATCAGTTTGGAGAATTTGTGTGTGGATACTGGTGCTTAAAGGGTTGAAACAAGCCATTGAAGCCCACACCGTAAGAGCTTATCTTGGTTTAAGTACCATGAATTGCTAAGAACTATTCCCAGCCCAACTTCCCCCACCCCTCCCTCGATGGGATACTAGTCCACCACAGCATTGCAGCTCCCAATGGTATGTAGCCAATTTTTAAAAAAAAAATCAAAATTAAAGACCTGTGAGAAGAGAGGAAAAGGAAGAAATAGTTTCTTGACTAAGATCAAAACTCGAAAAAAATTATGTTGTTAGTAAAATCTATATTTAACAAGACATTTACCAGATGGTAAATGTAGTTAATGGAACATGAAGCCCCAGGGGGGGGGGGGGGGGG